AACCTTCCATCTATTGTCTGAGGTCGATAACTGTCTCATAACCCCACACATGGATCGGGCACCACTGGTCATGACTACTCTCGAAAACTCCATGAAATCCATCTTGAAGCTATTCAGTAGTGAGCACATGATTATTATCATTACAGGGATTTGTGGAGATTGTAAAATTTTCACAGTTGAATTGACGGGTAAATCTAAGTTAAACTGCATATCGAAAACATTGAACAACTGCAAAATTAGTCTAGATTTTAAAAAATAGGAAGCTCAGATCATAAAATAAATCAAATAACCAATTACATAATATCAAGTCAAGTGTTTAAATTTTTAGAGCTGAGTTCATAGTTAAATTGTTAAACTCACTGTTCGACTCAAATTCTGCCTGGTGTCGTTCTACTGGAAAAATTCTCTGCTGACCAACCCTCCTATTTGTTCGTTTGAGTTCACTGAATTAAAAACTTCCCTATATATAATTTGTTAAGCTAAAGTGAAATCATTGGTAGTTTACTAACAATTATTCTCATCAATAACTGATCGTTTGTTAGCTGATATGTATGGTTAAGTTCTTTTAAATTTAAATAGTAGCTTTAGTTTCTAACAGATACATTCATTCAGTTAAACAATGATACTGTCTTTCGAAATCTATTCATGAATGATTTAGTGGTTTTTCTTTTGTTGAAATAATGAATTTGATCACTTCAACCGTTCAAATAGCTTTTTTTAAACCAATTGAACTGTTAAAACATAACAGTTTCACTTACAAAGCCTACTTAATATAAAGTCTTTCATAGAATAAAATAATGAAAATTCCAAAAATCCCTTTGTGAATCAAGATTTTCGGGATGGTAAACTTGTAATCCTGATATATATATATATATATATATATATATATATATATATATATATTTCGAACATTTAAATACGCTAATATCTGCCACATTTTAATTTATTTACAGTTTTAATCTTTAGTCACGTACATTTATAGTAAATCTGATAATAGGTTATGGGTCACTTTTACACTTGAACCTATACGTAACCATTTGAACAGATAAGAAATTCTTTTTGATGTATTCCTAAGTATCTTATTGATTAATTCTTTCTAAGTTTTTGAATCTTCCGTTTGTTTTATCTTGTAAAAGATTGTAACTAATTTGTCTATTTTAAGACATGTGCATCCTGAGAGGATTAGTTTGATACCCCTGAACGAGCCTGATCAATTTTAAACCATAATAATAACAGAGGGAAGATTCAAACTGACAAATAAAAATACATGGCTGTTACACAAGACAGTAGATATCTGGATTTAGTATCTCAGTGTATAAAACGATGAGCGTTTGAAGCTAAAGGTACTGAACTCTATTCTCAGTATGAACACTGGTATTGGGATGAAGGTGCATTCAGCTGACAAGTTTTAAGTGGATCAAAACGCAAATCCTGAATGGCATTGCTAGAGGCTAATCAGCTTCACTAAATTATTTTAATTGAAGGGAAAGATACATTTTTCTTAAATAACATTGTTCCATTAAGAACCCGAAATTAATTTAATCCAGTCATACGTGCTTAGAAAACGCTGCCAAGAGAATTTTTTTTGGAAATGGATACCTACCGCCAAGGAGTTCCATACTAAAATAAAGTAACCATCCAGTGCTTCCATTTTATCAATGATTGTCGAACACTGATTAAATTAAACAATATCCTCAACTTTATACTGAAAATACAATAATTGTTAATAAAGTGCGTACTAAGCTTCATAAATCGAATCAGCACTGTCTACAAATCGTCAACAGAACTAATTTTTTAACTTGAAGCAGAATTAGATTTTCTGATAGTTTCCATGGTCATTTGCTTAGAATATGTAATACAAATTCATTATATTAAAATTTACGATGTGTAAATCAGTAAAGCAATATATTCGTAGTAATACATGCTTATATACATATGCCTGTTAACAATGGTGCAACATAGACCGACGACAATGATTCTGTACAAAACTCTGTCCTAGAAAATCCTTGACAGTTGTTTCGAACTTCAATTCATCCTCTTAAAGTCTGCTTTCAGTTCCCGACACAATGTATTCCTTGGTCGTACTCTTTTGCTTAAATATTCAGAAATCACTGTTAGGGTTTGCTTCATGATGCAGTTTGTGCATTTCGTCAATACATGTGCTATCAACTTCCAACATCGTTTCCTGATTTCCTCTTCAGATGGAAGCTCGTTTGTTCTCTCACATAGCACGTTGTTGTTAATGGTATCTGAAAAACGAACACTGATTATCATGCGTAGTGAATTGTTTATAAATACTTGTAGTTTTTAATTTTGGTTGTGATGTGATGTGATGTGATGTGATGTGATGTGGTGTGGCGTATACTACTTAGGTTGACAGGAATAAATAGTATGTAGAACCAGTCGATAGTAGAATGCATGAGTGAAAAAGACTGGGAAGATTCAGATAAAGAAAAGAGGAAAGGAAGCAAAAAGTAATTGTAATGACAACGGGACTGAAAGAATCATGAATCATGTAAAGGACAACTGGTGGAAGATGTGCAAATTATGTAATGTATAGTTTTCATAATTTGAGAAAGCACTATGTAATTTTGCAGTGAACCATCAATTGGCCTTTCCCACTTCAGTTATCGACCGCTACAGTACAATTTCTCAAAGTATTGGCTTTGTGCAGTAGAACTACATTCACGTTCGTATTAAAGATTCTGACTTTGATGTTGACTGACAGTTGTTAGTGTTGCAGATGTTCTTTGATTGTAGGAATGTTATCCTGGCATTGCAAATCCGCACCTTTACATCACATCAGATCTTCCTTGTTTATCGATCATGCTATCCAAGTGCGAAAAGGTTTCCACCATATTCAGATCTTCTCCATCAAGTGTGATTGAGTCTGTTCTCTATGTGTTGTATTTGAGGATCCTGCTCTTCCCTTGTGAAAGTTGAAGCCAATTGCTCCAGAAGCTGATTCTACACCAACTGTCTACCTGAATTTGTTGGTGTGTATAGAAAAGAAGAGCTAGGTGATCTGCAAAGTCCAAATCGTCTAGTTGAATGCAAGGTCTAAGAATATAAGCTTTTTTGGTATGGTCAGTTGACCATAACTAAAATCTCCATGGAGACGCCGTGGCCAGTGGAGCCAATCGATGTCAGGTAGAGACAGGTATCTGCCTCAGTACGATTATTATCAATTTCACAGGAAAGAAAAACATTTATGTTTACATCCATTTTTAATCATGTAACTATTTATATTAATTAACTGATTATAAAAATTCACTTTCGTTTTAATCCTAATTTTAATTTTCTAAATGTTATGTAACTAATTGATTGTTATTTTGTTAAACTGACTTCCCATCATCTAATTGGTACAGACTTTTTACTTACTTATATCTATTAATGTAGAGCTTTGATGAAGATTTAATTGAAAAGAAATATTTCTTTACTCAAGTTGTCTTTTTAATGTTTCATTGGGAATATTTAATGTGCTAAATAATTATTCCGTCTTAATTTTAAGCATTGTAGTAGGAAACACTTATAACTTTCAGGTCTTGTGAAAAGCTATTTCTATAGACCATTGGGAAAAAATACTATTATTCACATTTCCACCTTGATTCTATTTTCTAGATGTCAACATATTTATCTAAAATTGTATTACTAATGTTTACGTAATCATTAGTATTGCACGCATATAGATCAAGCTCAGGATCGTCTAACTATTAGTTTTATTGGATAAATTATAAAATGAAGAAAACTATCAAACAATTTTAGTTACTTCATAAAAATGTTATTCATTGCTTCGACGAACTCTTATTTTACGACTAAACAAATAAAATTACAAAGGCTTGTTTACTTCAATTTAAATGCTGTTTAGTTTGGAAATTTGTTTCATTGTTCTTACACTCAAGTATGGATTTGAAATATTTCTCTGGTTAGCGTTTTTTAGCGAGTTAGTTTTCTACGGAATGGGGTCGCTAACCCCATGCCCAACCCTCCTCCATTATCCGGGCTTGGGACCGGCAGTAGTCTCAGAGGGGCTCCAGAAGGAGTTACACTCAATTATTACTTATATTAATATGAAAAGTAATAAGCAAGAGATCCGTGAAGTTGTAAAAGTCGATAAGCAATACATAATTATGAATACAGTTCATAATGAACTTTTAAAAGTAAATAACTTTTGCCTATATAACTAATAAATATAAATGAGCTTATTCAAGATAAATGAAATAGGCTAGAACAAATTGACGTTTATACATATGTCTAAATAAATTGTGGTATTTATTTCTAACTATAGCTTTATACAAGTTTGAAATCACTTCTTTAAATTATGGGACAGTCATATATGAACACTAAAAATTAGATAATGGACGTTCAAACACACACCGTATAGTTTGACATTCCTACTTGTCATAATTCCATTATTTCACTCATAAAATTTCATTGCTCATATTTATTATTAATAAAAAAAGTTGTTAGTTATCTACTAATTAAGTTGTCTAAGTATACACCAATTCTCACAATTTGCGTACTGCATCGATTTGTTGTTACCTTTTCCATTGTTATCATTTTACTTGTTTCATTTTTGTGACTACTGTTAACCGCATCATGATTTTCTGTCTTATTATTAACATCAAGCACATGTTCTCTGTGGGTATTGGTGAAGTAATGATCTCTCTGTATCCTATTCCGCTTCTAAATAAATAGATGTATAGTCGCGTGATTATGAATATTGATCTGGCGGTAAACTGAATTACTTAACACATCTTATCCATAAAATTACGTTTATACAACTCTGTTTACTTATTTAATAGGATAGAAATAGATATTACTTGTTACATAAAACAAGACGATGATTGGTCAAAGTGTTGGATTTTTCATCGCCCAATAAGAATACCTGTACAGTAGTTTGAATCCCTTCATTGGTCAGTGTTTGTTGTATACTCAAGAAATACTCACCTAACCTATATTTTTATAAACTATACTTATTCAATAGTACAAGTGAGCATCGTGAACAATCATAATGCATGAAGGTAATTTATCTACACGTACAGGAAGTATGTGCTCATCTTCAGGGAACAGTAATAATAATATTATTAAAATACCACGTCGTACATCAGTGACTCCAGTTACACAAAAATCATCCATATTTCCTCCACATAGCAGAAAATCATTATGCAATAACACAACAACCATCAGTTCATCTAACGAAGCAACTACGTCTTTTCCATCGGACAAATTACGTCGTATGTCTACGCTATTTAGCATTGATCGAGCAAAAGCACGTGAAGTCATCATGGCTGTACTAGAAGATCCTGCAAGAACTGAATTTAAACGTCTGAAAATAGAAAATGACTGTTTAACTAGTGAATGGAAACAAGTACGTAAAATATTAGGACAATTGCAAGCAGATTATGAAACAAGTCGCTCATTAGATCCTCTAAGACGATTTAAACATTTACAAGGTATGGTCAAACGTATTGTTATGCATATACGTATTACCGAACCGAGTTCCCTGAAGAAATTTTCTACACATTCAGAGAATTCAAGTGAAACCACATTACAAGGAGATGTTCTGCAAAGTGAAACTAAAGCGAAAGAAATGGAAAAACGTGTTGGACAAATGTGTGATAGTAAGTTTGCCATAACATAATTCACTTACTATGTAAAGCAAATATTGTATAATAATGCATCGGTTCAATGAATGTCGTTAAAATGATGATTTTTTCAGATGGTCATTCGGCGAGACTCTAATTTAAGGACGACCTTTGAACGAATTTTAAGTGACCTTGAGAATATTAGCCAATCAGAAGACAGCTAGAATAACGTAGAAATATATTAGAGAAACTAATGGATTACAGTGAATATATTTCTTTTACATGATTTAAAAACTTGTCAAGGTTTGCTAAAGTTTCAGATGTTTTGAAATCATATTGCATACAGTATAAAAAGTCATAAATTCCAAGTACCTGTCGAGTATATTCACGGAAATGCTACTTACCCAATCCTACTTTATACTACGTCCCCTGTTGCATTTTCGCTTTCTCACTGCTGTTTCATCTATCTGCACGATACATCCTACTCCTCGGAATGATTGGTGTACACGTGTTATTTTAGTTGCACCTATGTCACGGCAGTACTTATACCACTGGACTGCTGAAGTTTCATAAACAACTGCAAACGCCGCAGCTAGTGTTACTGGTGTCTTTATTACCCAATTTGCAACTATTATCATAATCTGATTCACTTTCAGTAGCAATCGAGCGAAGAAAGTCCCCGTTCGAGCAGACATTTTCCTCCAACATGAAGAACAACGAAATATAATCTCACCACGGTGGTTTGCACACTTTACTTCGGTCATTTGATAACCGCAGTCGCACGTACAGGAACGTTTTAGTAATCCCATCCCTTGTAGCGTCTCAATAATCACCTCTTCTCTAAAATCAGCTGTAAACCGATCGTATGTGAGCATCAGGTGTTAAACTTGGCTCCGTGACCTTGAAATGGCTCAAACGCTTCTGATTGGCTCGTCCTTAAATTAGAGTCTTGCCCGACATTAGATTCACTATGTTTCTTACTAAGCAAATTACTCGTGGGACACAACCTTGGGATTTGGAATTTATTCACTGGATTTTAGCTGATGTGTAGATTTTATATATAATTTTCTAAACCATATTATAACATTTGTAAATATCACATAGGTCATGAAAACTCCAGATTATAGTGTTTGTGTAAATAACTCACATTGCATCAAAGTGAAAATAAGATGAACGAAGGCAGTATGTGAAACTCTATATGGATTATTTGCTTTGACACGAACTGCTCTTATATGTGTAATATCATCCTGAAGTGTGAAGAAGTGTTTAATATTAGTCTGAGCCTCCTCAGTCGTCCCGACTAAATGACTACTTATCAAATCAAATGGTAAACCTAAAGCTCTCAAGACTAGTATAATACTGTTGATTTGATTTGTTGAATAATGATTTTTGACTCATTTTAATCTCAACTAATCAATAGCATAAAACTCTCAGCTAGTTTCTGTCATGTCTTCTTATTTGGATGGTACCATAGGATATGATTTAAAGCTAGAACTGTAAGAGATTATTTTGGTTCTAGTACTGAACTATTAATACACATTCAATATTTGACATTCAAATTATGTTCATCGTAACATATAGAATTTATATGAACATTTAAAATTATTAAGTGGTTTCCTATAACAATTTATATTCTACACTTTGTTAAAATGTCTAATGAAATAAAATGATCATTCTCTTAGAAATATACTTACACCTGTTACTTCTCGTGTGAACTTTCGGCCAGTGTGACAATTACCTACTTATTTACTTACGCCTGTTACTCCTCGTGAAGGAGTATAGGCCACTCACCAGCACTCTCCATCCAACCCTATCCTGGGCAATCCTTTCAACCTCTTTCCAGTTGTTATTCGTCCTTTTTATATTTGATTCTATTTTCCGACGTAATGTGTTCTTTGACCTTCCTCTTTTCCGCTTCCCTTAAGGATTCCAAGTTAGGACTTGCCTCGTGATGTAGTTTGGTGATTTGCGTAATGTATGTCTTATCCATTTCCATTGTCTTTTCTTAATTTCCTCTTCAGCTGAAAGCTGAGTCTTACATAATTATTCTTATAAAAGACTAGTTAGAAGATAAAAAAATAAACATGAATGCAACCGATTAATATTTCTACATTTCATTGGATCATTATCATAAGTGTTAAACTACTCAATAATGAATGAACTTTAGTAATATCTAAAATAAAGTCTAATATTCTTTTATTCATTGGTCATTGGTTATTGCATTTCGAATCAGTGATGCTTTAGAAACAAGAAAGAGATTTTTTAAAGTATAATTCATTAGGAAGTTGGTCATCATCAACTGGTTCAAAACACCTGTTCAGTATTTCAGTTAATCGTATGAACTTTCATAAACTAAATTGAATTCTAAATGGAGTCTGTGTTTCTTTAGTAATGAATACATTCATACGGATTTATTATCAAGTGTTATTTTTTTTCTGTAGCGTAAACAAAAACTAAATTCATATTAAACAGGTTAACCAAAATGAGTGACATCGATTTCTGGAAAATATCAGTCATTCACTTTCAAAACTAAGATACTTAATAGTTATGTGATTTTGATTTAAAATACAGTTGAAGAAAGCTGACTGTTTACATTACAATCGCATTGCAAGCTTCCGAATTCCCTGGTATTGTTGAGGGTGAGTAGAGTCAGCTCTCCTTCTCGAAATGCTATAACATGAACACGTGCATACAACCATTGCCATGGAAGTCCTACTCGCTGCCTTATCACAGCATTACTGTTGTTTACGAAATTGAGAGAACGAGAAGCCAATGTCCGGCGATCTAACCGGGTTGGTGGATATGGAGGGTTCACCTAGGAGAGTTGTAAAACCCTGATTACAAACCAATGGTGCACATGGGCTCCAGGATCCTGAAGGAATAAGTGGCGTATTAACTAATTGTTGGTCACCAGCTAACATGGGATTGCATCTCCTGACGTTGCTCCACTACCTTGTGGATCAGACCTTTAGGTTATGGGTTCCGGATGTGGCCCCCTAAGAAAACCACCTGCTTCGGTTTGGGCACCAGGGGATTATCCTAGCCCTCACACAAATCGAATGATTTACGTATTTATCTATTTGGTGCCTTTTTGTACCAATGTTTATATGTTTAAATCAATAAAAAATACAATTATTGTCAGAAGGGGTTTTGTGGAGATACAATTGCTTTGACGATCAATGTTGTTTTTTGGAATCTATCAAAGTCTTATTTAATTGTTATTTGTCTCTTCAAACAATCTTGGATAATAAATCATTTCTGGGGGAATATTAATTAACTTCAACACGTTTAAATAGAATATCATTGGAAAAAAGTCCTAGGCTTTTGAGGTAATTGGCATAAAGGTTTCTCTAAACAACAGTAAACTATGGTTAAGCAACTTTTAAAAAACTCTCGTATTTCAAGGATGCAAAATCTAATATGATAGCTGGTAATATGTAGCAAGCCCATTCCATTAATGTATTATTTTTCAACACAACTGTGTTAATTTCCATATGAGTATGATTGAGCGTGTGTCTGCACTTCAATCCCTATTCTATTCCCCATTGGTTGTGACACATAGATAATCAGAAGGGATTGTGTGGAGATTTTAGAAGTCTCACTGGTTTAAATCATGAATCCATTGAAGCTAGACCACCATGGAAAACCTGGAAGCACTGGACGGCCGTTTCGTCCTAGTATGGGACTCCTCCGGCTCAGTTGTCTAGTTGGTTAAGCGCCTGGCGCGAGACTGATAGGTCCTGGGTTCGAATCTCGCGAGGAGCGGGATCGTGGATGCGCACTGCTGAGGAGTCCCATACTAGGAAGAAACGGCCGTCCAGTGCTTCCAGGTTTTCCATGGTGGTCTAGCTTCAATGGATTCATGATTTAAACCAGTGAAACATAGATAATCAATAATTTATCTACACTTGATTGATACTCAATAATATATATGGATCTTTTAACACAAACACACACTTTGATTTTTGTCTGACTCGGTGCTTGCTTGCTGTATGCTTGCGGATTTTACCAAGCTTTAACAATAAACTATCTCTATAACTGATTTTTGGGCTTTTTAATGATCTCGAGTAAATCGATAAATCTACTAAGAGATTAAGCCTGTATTAAATACTCGGTTAATGAGATATCTTTATTTGGAGTCGAATATAGAAGAAATTTATCTCAACAAACTTGGTTAACCTCTACAAATAAAATGTCAATATTAAGTTGACCATCTTTCATGAATCTTTCATCATCCCAATCCATGATATCTCATTTTATAGAGAGAAACGAAAACTGGTTTCTAATCAAAAGTTATTATCATCATGTCAGAAACTTAAATAATTTCAATGGTTATAGAATATGTTGCAACAAATAGGGGGGTGGGATACGGTTTAAGTGAATTTTTTTTACCTATGAAGTTTTCCTACTAAACTGCAAGGTTAACATTTTTGTGTGTGGTCTTTATTTAATATTTATATATGTGTCATTCATAATGAAAAGTCGATTGAGAAATATAGAAATAATAGAATCATGTGAACGTCATTTTTGTTGTTAGTTGAATGTTCACTATATGTGTTTCATTTTATTATAATGATTCTTGTAGAAACAGAAAAACACAATGTTAGTTAAATCACTTGAAACTTTTCATTTAGATTTAAGAAAAGATTCATAATGAAAAACTGAAGTATCGCTGTTTTTTAGATCCAGCATCGTTAAAATGTTGTAGGGATTAAAGTGGTTATATAAAAGATATACATGAAAAATAATCCATATCTAGTGTTATCTAAAAAAATACTTTTTGGAAAGAAATCTTTAGTTATATCAATTAAAATATCGAATTTTTAGATAAATCCCATACTAATCCATTCATAAGATTTAAAACACATAGCCCTTTTGGTCAATTTCGATAATTCAGTGTGAAGACGAAGATCATCAGGATTGTGAGTAATACATTTTGAACAGCATCAGAATGGGTTTTGTGAAAACCACGTTGGATAATACATCAGTATTACCAGGGTAGGTTAAAGGTAACAACACATTAAGGGGATTTCAGT